CGGAAGGTTCAGCAATTCCTGAGTCCGGAAATCTGAGAATCAGTCGTCTCAGAAAATCCCTCCGACTCGTAAAGGACTTTCCGAAGAGACTGAGGACCAAGGTGGAGGACCACGAGGTCCTGATCGAAGGTCCATCAGAATCCCACGGAAGTACCGTAATCGCGGGGTCCAGTGGAAGTCCGAGAAAAAAAAAAAAGCGATCAACGAGTGAAACACGTGATGAATCTAAGACACGTAAAATTAAGAGCTAAAGATTACTGTAGACATTGTAGACAAACCTTGTCATACCATCTCATATTAAGAGACATACCATCTTCGGTACCTGTGCTTCTTCCTGTCTCTGCATTCTCCACTCGGTATCGCACATCGTGGCTCTGATTCATCGTGAACTTCACCACGAAGTTCCTCAGGTCGAGACTGGGCTTCGGGTGCGACCTGACCCACAGCCATAGGGAGAGCTCCGAACACGGCAGCGAGACCTCCCAACCGGATCAACCAAAAGGCTTTAAAACGGTATGTCCATTATTGTTCATGTTCCTTCTTCCAGCGGGTCGAACTGCCAAGGAGACTCCCTATTTGAGCCATTTGTTGGCTCATTTGCTAGTCCCTCAACCCAGTCTGTTTGTTTGTGTGTGTATGTGCGCCGCTGAAGCATCGAACTCGGTGAAAGTTCGCAAAGCTCTGGGTGCGACAAAACCCCGCGAGCTGGGCAAATCAACCTGTGGACCTGCAGCAACCCTGCGAACGACGGAAGAAACGCCCCTTTCAAATCCACGACAATAGGGCGTTCCCAAATGTTCGACCTCCTGTCCAGTTCAGTCCAATCCCTCCTATATCATACTTTAGATCTCAAGCTAAACCCATCTAAATCCCGTCCCGTAGGTCCTATCTTCCATCCTGCATCCTCTACCTGACCTTCTGAATTCACCTGGAACCTACACTAGGCCTCCCCACTGCTCCTGGGTGGTCTTGTCTGGCTCCACCTGGCTCCGAGAAAAGCGACCTCTCATGTGATTGGATTTTAGTGGCTGCAGTTGTTGAGACTCCAAACATCCTTACATATCCATCACCATGGATCATAGTTGCATTTGGAATTCCCTGGTCCACCCTGTTGAGTGTTAATGAATAAACTCGCCCATATGGAGATCTTTCAGATGTCTTTTTCATTAAAAAAAAAAACGGTTCTGAACAATGAATCACCCAGAAACCGTCTGTGAAACCGGTCGATGGCACCGTTCACGGTGGTTCCTGTGTCTGTCAGATCTACAACGTCACGGCATACCAGACGGAACGGTGGGCGTCGCGTAGACGTCCTTGGTCTGGTTCATCCTCAGAGGGCTCCAACTGAGAAGGTGGTAGACCTGGGGGAGGTGTCGGGGGTATCGGTCCGTGTCGGGACACCCATCCTCCGAGCAAAAGATGAAGTCGCCTGGGAGACATTGAAGACCACACGCACATTCCTCACGCAGCCAAACAGGGTCAGTAGTGGCATCCACATGAAAAACTTGGTGATGAAAGCATCAAAGGTCACCAAGGATCTCCTTTCATATCTTTTCCTTTCAATGGAGCCCACAAAAACCCGTCTGTCCCGCCATTTTGCGGCACCAGATCATCGCAGGAGGCTGTTGGGTCGCGTTCTCGAGCCTGGCGCCCAATAGAAACAGCAGCACCAGGGCTCAAGCAGCTTAGATAAAGAGCTTCAAGAGCCAGCTATATGGGCTCAATGAACTCAGATGTACAGGAGCAGCCCATGGACTCGGATGGACATTTGGGAATCATGTCCCCATGGCACCAACACTGATCATCCGGTTGGGTGGTTGCGGCCAAAATCAGTACCCAGCCTCCAAGCAGTCCAAGCTTGGCATCATGGGGGTCCTGACATGGGTCGTGCTTCGGTCTACCGGTCACTGCAGGGGACACCGAACCAGTGTGAATCTGTCCATTTCAACCTTCGGGCACCCCGCGATTGGTCTAGACCCCACGATCCATCATCCTCCTGCAGAACATTCTCTACAACTGCTTCACCTACCGTTCGCTGATCCCTCTCCCTTAGATCGGTCAAGTTCTTCCCGCGCATGGGTCTAGCCGGTGCCCTGCCGCTCCTGGGCTGAATGCTGCCACATCCCACCACGGCCTCAATGAGCGCTTGGGCACTCCAAAAGGGATATGTGAATTCATGTGAATTCCGCTGAATTCCCTTAAGTCTCAAGTGACTCGTGACTCCCTGAACCACCATGCAGGAGTCTTACACGGTGTGCATAACCCGGGCCTGATGAATTTGCCAGAATCATTGCTGGATCGGTTTCAAGAATTGAGATTTGGGCAAGTAGGGTCAAATCATGTATGGTGGTGCATCCCCCTTCCCTCAAACAAGCGCATCATGTGTGGAACGGAACGGAACGGAGAGGAACGGAGAGGAACGGAGAGGAACGGAGAGGAGAGGAGAGGAGAGGAGAGGAGAGGGAAGAAAGGTGGCTCTTTAAGAGTGTGGCTCTTACAAATCCTTCAAGCCATGTGGCTCTTCCCTTCTGTAAGATACAGCGTCCTTGCATCGACCGCTGGTCCCCGAAAGGAAACATGGCCCAGGGCCGCATGAGGTCCCCATCGTCCGTGCGCGCCGATGCCCATGGTGGCCCGGAGGTTGAGCATCCCCACCACAATAAGAAAGACCTGACGGCTGAAGGTGCAAAGGGCCTTACCTTACTGCTAGGAGCAAGAACGCTACTAGGAACAAGTGCATCGCTACTAGTAACAAGTGCCTTACTAGTAGTAACAAGAAGCTATTAGAAACAATATGGCTGAAGGTGGACTTCAGAGGGCTCCCCCTTCTAGCACTCTAGCGCGTGCCCAGTGCAGGGGGTTTTGTCTTTTGCTTTTCTTCTCACAGCCCAATTAGTAGAGTAGAGACCAAAGACGTGCCCTGAAGCTCCAAGAAGCTCACTGAGTTTGCTGGCTGGGATCTGCAGATTGATTTTGTATGGTGTCGTCTTGTCTTTTTCTTCATAGTTTTCCCTGTTAGTTGTCTATGGTCTTTTATGTCCAGAGGGGCTTCTCCGGGATCATGCGGGCTTCGCCAAACACCGATCTGCGAATCGGCTGACCCGATGCACCTGTGTTGCAGAGCCGTGCATCAAATTTGATCCAATTATCTGTGCTATTCCTCATTGATGAGCGTCTTTCTTTGTCCACTACTACTACTACTACTACTACTACTACTACTACTACTACTACTACTACTACTACTACTACTACTACTACTAGTATTATTACTACTACTAGTAGTAGTAGTAATAGTAGTAATAGTAGTAATAGTAGTAGTAGAAGTAGTAGTAGTAGTAGCAAGGACGCTATATGCTATTAGTAGCAAAGGGCATCGCTACTAGGAGCAAGGACGCTACTAGTAGCAAAGGGCATTACTAGTAGTACCTCGCCGGAATGCGACTCTTTGTGGGTGCGATCATCATCTCCTAACCAGGGGGAACCTCTGGCAATGTTCCAATGACTTTCATCTAGTTCGAGTGCTACCACCGCGAACGGCATTTTCAGAGGCCTGCCTTCGTCAGGTCATTGAGCAATCTAAGTTCAGTGAAGGTGCCTGGTCCGGATCATATATTCGAAAGGCTTCCACCGAAAAGGTGATCAAGACTTCTTTGCAATCTATTGTCCAAAAAGAACGGTTCGTAATTGTCATAGCGTCTTGCATGCAGTGATTTTGCAGGAGATCCATGTGGCAGTAACTCTGATATTGACTCCTCTCTCCCGCGCAGGGTTCCTGGCAGCACCATGGCTCGTGATGCGCTATTTAGGCGATTTGTTTTGACCTACCTTCCGACCAAGTGTGGGATGCCCGAGATACCAGTATCAGGTGTGTAGAATTTGCTCAGTCAAGTGTGCATCTAAGATAGTGGGCAATGAAGTCTCCCTTCTTTCAGACAGGAATGTCCACCTTGGGTGGTCAACGGCGATTGCGGAGTTCCCTGAAGGACATCCAGTTTTGAGTGTTTTCTCCGCGATCCTCGAATTTCAGACAGGTTGCCTCTCATCTTCGCATTCTGGAACGGAGTGAACAATACCAGTACCAGATCCTCAAAGCAGCAACAGTCTGCTTCTCGTCTGTTTTTCTGGTCCCTGCATCGTCCGTGTTGGAAACGAAAATACTGACTGAATGCTTGCAAATGGACCCTCTAACAAACAACTATTAGCAATGTGGACTCCCGGACGCTCTTCAACGGTTCTGCATGGCAGTCTCCAAGGCCAGTACGGTGGCTGCTGGCGCCGGGCAAAGGACTCTCCCAACCCGCAGCTGGAGTCAAGACGGCCAAGCAATCAGTAGAACTAGTTTTGAAGAAGACGACGCGTCATTAGCTATCATTGGTTGATTTGTTGCTTTGTTTTGCTCGTGTCTTCTTGTTGGTTGCTTCTGCTTGAGGTTGGCATCTCTTTGTTGTGGTGGTGGTTCTTGAAGCAAAACCATATGTTGCAGTGTTGTGTTTGTCTGGTTTGCTATGGACGTGTTTTGTCTTTTAAACTCTTTTGGGGAAGAAGTTGTTTCGTCTTCAGGAGTGATACCACATGTTGATTCTAGTTGTGTGTAATATAATATAGTATAATATAGTATAACATAATGTAATATAGATAATATAATATAATATAATGTAATATAATGTAATGTAGTATAATGTAATGTAATGTAATGTTACATATGCAATGTGTATATTCTTATTTCTTCCACAAGAATCCAATGGACAACTTCAAGGCAGCAAACCCACCACATCATGGATTTCTTGCACCACCTAGTACCCTGAGGCCAATCTTCAATAATCTTCATGCCAGATGTGGTTGGTTTCTATTCCATCTGAAGAAAACACTCAACCTTGTTGCCTTGATTGGCCACACCAGGCCCACACCTCTTCACACCTCTTTCAATCTCCATTCGTGTCGTTTCCTGGAAAATGCAAAGCAGCACCACCCTACCTGTTCTTCACATGTCTTCTCCTTTTTTCGGCTGCAGAAAAGGGCCACCCATCAAAGCGGCGCTTTGCGCAAAGGGATCGGCAGAATGTGTACCTGTTTTGCAAGTTCAGGTCCCAACCAACTTGAGATGGAGACAGCCCTGCAGAGGGTCCATGGTCTTTTGTCTTTTTCCCCCAGACGGGTTACAAACAAGGTTTGCAGCTTCTTCTTGTAGCAAGAAACTGAAGACCTAACAAGAGGTCCTGGTTGACCAACGAAAGCTTCGGTGTCCTCATTCCCACAAATTGGGGCCTGCGGCCTGCATCATTATTGAAGATAATCTGTATCTTCTTTCTCCCCCTTCCTCCTTCCTCCTCCTAAGACTCTTCTTCTTGATCTTGTTTGAGATCTAACATTGATTCCTCTCAATTCTTCATCATCATCTTCTTCTTCTTCATCACCATAGTCATACTCTTTCCCAGCAAGACTCCAACAATAATTTCATCCAAACATCCAGACCAGGTCCTTTATCACGTCCCTTCACCGCCTTTTCCGGGGCGACCCACCCCTTTCGTCCCCTCCGACTCGGAGAAGACTCGGACGTGCTCCCGGGTCACATGGACGTGCGGCACCGTCTGCCCGGCGTCGGCGCCGTCTTGGATGCCCAAGCGCGAGGCCTCCGTTTGGGGCGCGGACGCGGTCGGTGTTCGGGCTCCCAACATGGGACCATTTCAATCACCCCCCTGAAATATGTAGACCATTGTAGACCTCTTAGATGATATTTCAACATATTTCAACCTCCGCCCCTTCAGAGATGGATTGTAAAAGCTCTGAAACATGAGAGGGATTGAAATAGAATCAAGAGTCTATATATATGTTAGATATAAGTGAATTTGCAGAATTCGTGGATCCTTGCTGATTCTAGTGACGTCGCATGAACTTAAGCGTTTAAGTGACCTCAGCTCAATCCAAGTGAGCGAGATACAAAGGCGGGATCTTTCGTGTCCGAACCCAAACCGCTCCAAGCGCCATTCGCACCTTTGAACAAACCGCCCTTCGCATCCGAAGGCGCATCCAGTGGGACTAACGCGTGACCAACGCGATGGGATCCTGCGTGGGTCCCGCGGCCTCAGCGCCATGGGCTCCTTCCAGGGCACCTTGCACCAGTCGCACTGAACGGAAGAGGTCTTCGAACTCCTTTTCGCTGCGCGAGCATCGCACCACACGGGCGCGAGGCTCGTTGGAATCCCCCCGGGTCCGGTGGGTGAGAAGGCCAAGAAAGACCTTTCTTGGCAGATCCATCTAGGAGTGATCAACCAATAATTAGGACAATTCAGGTTTTACGTAAGCCCTTGTTCAATGGTGCGTGATACAATTGGTCCTTCCACTTTATATGATTTATATATATGCGTCTGCCTTCTCCCCATGAAGCCGTGGATTAAATCTCTTCCCACCACCGCGAAGCCGGAAAGCCCATGCGGACAGACGGGACGGGTTGGAACCAGGTTCACCTGCCGAAACCCGGAGAGAACCCGAACATCTGGATTTTCACAGGGTGGATCCCGTCGTTCTCAGGATCCTTTTTATGGAATTGGCCCAATCACCATCAATCGAAAGGTAACTATATATTAATAGTGATATATGGTGCTATACACAACTGCCTGAAGGTGGTTGGGAAACTGTGTAAAATCCATTTCAAAACCCATCGCTGTGTCCTTTCACCTGAAAACACCATGATCTACTTACCCACAACCATCAGTGTTGCAATCGTCAGAATCTCTCAAGCTACTTCTCGCTCAGTGGCGCATGTTCCATCATATAAAAGAGTCCACACAGCAAAAGAGAAGTTCTCGGGCTCCTCGGCTGACAGATCCTCCATACGAGGGGCGGCGCGCTTTGGCACCACCTGAGTTTACACCAGTGTCAAGTGTCAAAGATCCAAGTCAAGCTGTTGTGGTTTGCCAGCGGCTTGAGCCCATGTGCATTAGGATCTTGCTTCAGAACCGACAACATCCGGAACGTTCAACAACGGAACCGTTACAACTGTCCACTGTGGATGGGACGTGAATATGAGGGCTTCTTGAATGGTGCATGTCTTACATGCCAAAAGTACGACTGGTGGTTGGGGAACATAAAACAACATTGTTGGCTGTTTGACGATGAAGCTGAAGCTGTTTGACACAGAAGAATAGAGTCTGATTTGAGGACATCCAATGTTGAGAACCATCACAATGCCACAGAAACAGAAACAACTCGAATGCCAATTCGTTTCAAATGTTCCAATTTGTAGAGACACCCACTGGAACCTGAATCAGATTTGTCCGAGAACCTCAGCCTCATCCATCACCGAGTCGTCTGGTACGAAAGCTTGAGAGCTGAGGCTATCAAGGAGCCATCGCAAACCAAATTAACTGCCTGTCTGTGTTCGAAGACTTCAGCGTTTCTGTGCTCAAATGACCACATTGGCTAGAAGGCTTTGATGTGTCACCTAAAACGTTGAGATGAAATGTCTGCAACACAAAACATGCTCCAACTACAGCCTGAATCTTCAACCAGTCTCGTTCAATAGGTCCTGACCAAGTCAAAGTACGCTATCGGGGACCTATCACCTCCCCTCCCCCAAGAAAAAGAGAAACGGAACAGGAGCTGCTAAAATCTGCTAAAATCTAAACATAGAAAAACAACGTCTTCAATCCATCCCCTCAAGCCACCGCGTTGCAAGCCGGCACCCGCGCAACCGCGTGTCGCGCGAAGGACGCATACGCGGGTGCCGAGTTCGTCTTTTTAGGTCTCCCGCACCAGCACGTGGCCTGGCACCAAGGGCTTCAAGTTCACAAAGCCCACGGTCAACTCCGAGGCATAGAATATGTGGGACCTCAAGATTGGCGGCGCTGCAGGTGGAAGGAAGGATGATGAAGGACCATTTGCCGTCGGTTTTTTGTTGCAGGGAGGAGTGAACCACTGAGAACATGAGGTTGCACTTTGCCTAGTTCTTTGACATGTTTTGGGAACAACAGGGTTGCAAGATGTTCTCGTTCCTAGTAGTAAGGCCCGGAGCCCCGTTCGTAGCGATGCCCTTGCTCCTACAGCGGTCGTCATGGCGGTTTCAGGCAGCCTTCAGAAGCAGCGGCGCCCCGCGTGTGATCTCACCAGCCGCATTGAGTTGTGAGACCAGCCTGGATCCTCATATCACGGCGCACAGTGGTTTCAGAGTAGATGGCGCAATCCCCACAGTTAGGTGGTTTATGAGGACCCCCATATAAAAGAACTCTTTGGGTCTTTGGGTTTGTGCCATCTACTCTGAAACCACTGTACTTCAGTGTTGTTACATTTCTGTCTGTTGCGTGAAGCACTTCTGCTTTCAATCCCAGTCCCCAGGCCACAATCAAACAGCATACAAAAAAGAAACTGCAAGCAGTGGCACACGCTTTTGGACGTTTGAATCAAGAACCCTTGGAAAACAAATGTTGCTAATGATTGCTATTTTATCTAAGCCTATGCCAAAGCCACGTCACCACATAGGCGTTTCCGCCCATTAAAAAAAGAAAAAAACAACAGCTTAAGAAACAAAGCCTCCATGATGTCAATACACTGGCCATGTGTCAGTTCTGATTCCGTTGAATTTGGGAAGTTCCCCTTCGAATCTGGGGGGTCACTCCCTGAGTTCGCCGGGTCGACCTTTGCACGCTGGGCTCCGCAGCCCTGGGATCTGGAAGGATGCAAAGGCCTCTAAAGGCGAACGGTAGAGGGGGGTAGTAGCTAGAGATAGCTTGTAGCTAGGTAGCTAGATACCTTATTGCTAGGAACTGGACGCAGAAAATCGCTCACGCTTCTTCAAGGAAGCTCCTCCCCCGCCGACCTAGAATAGGGCGGCGGCTTTAGGAGGAGCTTCCTTGAAGAAGCGCTCGCACGATTCATTTTGGTTCAAACGAAACTACCGTGGTTCATTCGTTTGGTTCGCACTATTCATGTGGTTCATTCGTTTGAGGCGTTTGTCTATTTTTAGGGAAACGAACCATCCACACATCTCCATGGTCGCGTCCTCGAATTCGCGGGGGCTGGTGAACTGTGCCGATGCTTTTTTTTGGAGGGATTGGCTGGAAAGCTGCTAGGACTGCTAGGATGGTTGGCTTAAGCTGTCTGGGAGAAGTGGCGGACCAGCCCAGGAATCCTTGGATACCTCAACCAGTGCTGACTGCATGGGATGAGCCTTTCAAGACCGGAAGGGTTGGAGGATCCAAATTCTTCGATCATGGCACCGGCGTCAAGCTATTGCAAAAATCCATGTGTGCATATTATGGACTGTGGACCCGTATGACCTTGCGATCCACATACTCTTCATGACCTTGCGATCCACATGATGAACATGCTGAACATGATGAACCATGGAGCTCCCAGTTGTCTTATGCCTCAACCTCTGACATGCACCCCGAGCTTGAGATGCTTTCGCAGAAAAGGCAGCACTCTTGAGCGATTTTCATGGCAAGTTCGTGAGATGTGAGGATTCCCGCCGACCCGACCGGCCTGTTCTTCCGGAAAGCTGCCGCTTCCTGTGCACATTTCACATGTGAGGTGATCCAGTCCATTTAGGTGTGGAGTTTGCTTCAAAGTCCGTTCCACTGCTTGACCGAACCGTCATGTTTCTTATCTGTCTCGAGAGACTGACTGGGCCTGTCCAAGCGTCCTGCGTCCTTAAAAGCCCGTGGATGTTCGGCATGTCCCGCGTCCCGCGTGCCGTCACGGACGGATCCAGAGACAAGGTGAAATCCAGCCACGAAAGCTCTGGAGCAACCTTTTCAAGCGCGGCAATGCGAGTGTCCTGGCATCACTGCACGATAGCTGAGCGCTTCAGCTGCCATCTCCTCGCCTGGAAAAGGGAGAGATGGGCAGAGGAAGGACATCCCTGGAAACTAGCATGGCCCTCAAAACCCTGCCTTAACAATAAGAAAACATGTTTGCAACAAGCAATTCTGCAGGTTGCGCCGGTGAGCGCAGAGCAGCGTCGTACAAAAACGCACATGCAGTGCATCTGAAAGGGTTCCTTTGCTCATCGATCGGACTTTGGGACTTCTACGGCAGCAGAGTTGGAAGGAATTGTAGTTTGGATGGGTGGCCACAGAACAGCAGGATCACACGTGCATTGGGTCAAGCAAGAGTCAAGTAGCTGTTCATGATGCAAAGCGTCTCAAGTTTGGAGGCTCTGGGCTCGCCAATGTGGCTAAACACGGTCACATAATACATGTGGTAGCGCCAGTAATCCACAATTACCATTATAACAAGCACCATCGGCATCGGGCAGCCATTCGAAAGTAGACTGAAAATGAGACAGTCCCAGAAAAAGCAAACCATCATCGAGTTTTTTCTCACCTAGTTCAGAATGAGCGGGCAGGAGCGGCAGGGTAGCTAGCAAGCAAGAGCAAAGGGCACGTGAGGCAATCAAGGCAAGGCACACAAACAAACAAACAAACAAACAACCAACCAACCAACCAACCAAGCAAGCAACCAAGCAACCAAGCAACCAAGCAACCAAGCAACCAAGCAACCAAGCAACCAACCAATCAACCAATCAACCAAGCAAGCAACCAAGCAAGCAACCAAGCAACAAACCAAACAACCAAGCAAGCAAGCAAGCAACCAAGCAAGCAAGCAACCAACCAAGCAAGCAAACAACCAACCAATCAACCAAGCAAGCAAGCAACTGACCAACCAAGCAAGCAAGCAAGCAACTGACCAAGCAAGCAACCAAGCAAGCAGCCAAGCAAGCAAAAGCAAAAAGCAGCGGATCAGGGAGGAATCAAACCCCCATGAGATGGTGTCACCTGCTGTGCCAGCAACGATGCAATCCAACGCCTTACCCATTAGGCAACTGATCCCTCTATCTTAGAGAATGAAAACCCGCCACCCATATTTTGCCTGCTCCAAAAACGCAGCGGAAATCCACGCCTGTGCGCTTTCTGCGCGCCTCATCTTCAGGCCACTCCTGTGAGCAGCTTGGCTGGATGAGCGGGTCCCAAAGTGCGCGCGCGCAGACGCCGGCATGTGGTCCTGAAGCTTTGATCTCAAATCCCCGTTCAAGACGGCTTCGTCGCAGATCTTTTTAATCAACCCTGATGAGGTTGTAGGGTCTCATCTTCGACAAATCCGATCCTGAGGTCGTCACAATCGATGGGGGGCAAGCCGCTCCTGCGGCAGTGCCCAAGCAACTGAAGAAAGAGTTGGCCCCCATTCTGCCACCTGATGCCTCAAAACTTCAAATCTCCACTTTATTTGAGGGCTTCTCAGGCAGAATATTGGGATGACCGAATGCTTTGACATGATCACAAGTCACTCTTTTCATGCGCTTCATCTGATCACTCCTCCATCAAACTCTTGGGGATGGCTATCTGACAATTTGATGCAAAGCTTCCAGTTCACAGGTCAACCACCCATCACATCGCGCCTTTGGAGGATGGCACCCAGCGTTCCAACGCCTCATACACCTGCGCCGTCGCGTCGCTGGTGACCTCTCTTTCTCAATGGGCTGACTGGTGTTGAACATGAGCCTGTCACAGCCCGATTTCAGCGTGTTGAAACCTCTCAAACGCCGTTGCTTCGAAGGCTCGATTGGACCAGCTGGCACACCGGTGCGAGCAGTGGTTGAGGGCATTGGGGATGGCAGCACCAAAATCCAATGAAACCCTAAACCCCTCTCTGAATGGAGATCTCGGCGCGGTATGAATCAAGATCACATTAGAACAGCTAAGTCATGCTAAGTTCAGGTTTCCAAACGGCATCCAGGTCTCCATCCGTCCCGGATGTGTAATCATTCACATCCTTGGTCGAGTGATTTCAGAAAGAGTTCTGCGCCACCTGATCAGGTCAACAAGCAACATTTGTTGCCGTGTATTCACACAAACAGGTCAAATAGTGGAAAAATATTGCTTGTCCTTCAACCATGATCATCGTCTAGATGTAGACTGTTGAGGTTGGGAGGTTTTAGTAATCAACAGTCTACATGACCAGCTTCTGAGTTTTGGTGGGAGGACGACAAGCGTCCGGGTCGGCTGAATCACTACGGCGCGCGTCCGCGCGTCCTGGTCATTCTTCTCCAGGTCGTTCGGCTTTCGCGGCACCACATGCACGTGCGCATGAGGCCTGGAGCAGGACAAACAGAGATCCGGTGCATGGCCGCTGCCCAGCACGTAGAAGAAAAAATGATGCAACCTTGCAACCTGACCTGTGTGACTGTGAGTGGGCCCCACACCTTTTCCCTGCACACTCAAGTCAGGGTCCCTCAAACCCCCAGTCTGGGTCTGAAGTTATTCTCTGGCTTTTGGTGGGATGGACCCACTCGCTGGTCCCATACTGCTCCTGGTCTCATCAAGTGCGTCTCGTCTTCGGTTTCGACTTTCGGCACACCAACTGGGCCTCCCAGCACTGGCTGACCTGCAGGCCACCCATCGAAGACAGCCCAGTTGCTGGCCTCATGGTCACAGAAAAAGGCGGCAAAAACTTACAGAAAAATGTTGACCGGTGGTCTGTCCAAAAACTAACAGTCGCAGTAGTCCAAACTGGTACAAAGAAAGGTCCAAATTGGCTTGGTCATCTACATTTGCTCTTTTGCCCGGAGGCAACCCTTTGAATCATGTGGCCACAGCTCCTGCACCTTTCGACAGTCTTTTATCGGTTCTCCAAAGCACTGCAAGTATACATGGGGCACCTGTAGCATTTGCTTTGAGAAACGCTACCATCATAGTCCACGTAGCAATTCAGCAACGAGGCTGGTTCCAAACTTTCAGACCCAAACAAGTTGATCGAGAATATCATGCAGGCTTCCAAGGATGCTCCACAGCCTGCGATGCGGAAAACCGACCAAAGCTTGGTGCGCGGCAGTGGATTCCAGTTTCCTTGGCAAAAGGATGCAAAAGGTGCCCAGCATCCAGGTATATCCAGGTGCACTGATGCAAGATGCTCGACTTCTCTCAAAACTCTATTTTCGAGGTCCAAGAACAGGACGGTACCAGGTACCACAACCGGTCTCACCGGGAGACCCCAGCAGCCCACGAATCTGAAGGGGCATGACCCACAATGATCGGGAACGGAACCTCTGGGAGGGGTAGAGGGGTATTCCTTTGCTTCCAAGTTGAGACAGTCAGAAATGTCTGGGTCGACTCCAACTTCTGCCAGGGAAGATTTCTTTCGCAGGGTCAGGTGATATAAACACTCGTTGGGGGACCTACAATTACATGCTGGAGTCTTTATCTTTGTTGGCTATTCGACCAAACACAACATGTCGTTGCAATCCGCCTTCCGTGACAGGCAACCGTCTCAGTTCTCGTTCTGTTTCCAATGTGGTGCGCCAAAGGTCCAGCCTGAAGCGTGTTGTGATCTGCTTTCGTCAGGTTGGTATGGGGAAAAGTCCCTGGAACACCGAAAGCAGCAATGGGTGAAACTAGAAAAGAATGGGTTCTGCAACCTGTGTTGGTAAAAGGCTGCTATCCTGTTGGAAGTGGATGGAAACCCACTCCTTCTTCCAAGGAAAGGGTACTGAACATTTGGCCAGCGGAACCAGCTTAGGAACCTTGAAGCCGTTCAATCTGTATGGAATCCGGGGATGAAAAGCGTAAGTCCCAACATCACCCAAAATGGTCTAACTTTCTCGCTCCAAATGGTCAAACTGAACCTTCTATTTGGATCTATTTGGAGCATTTAGAGTCCAGTTTCCTGAAGGCGTATCACAGTTCTACTTGGAATCTTGGAGTAATGCCCACAATGATTCCAAAACATCACCGGACCCTGGACCCTGCTATTCCCACCCTCTAGAGGGTGCTCCCGGCATGGCATCTTCTGAAAGCTCGCAAAGGCCTCAGCGTCTGGAGGAGACGATGGCGGACTGGATCCAAGACTCCGCTTTCGGAAGACATCTTGCACGACTTCGGAAGAAAGGAAGATAGACCTTCCCAAGATTCTTGGGGGTTGGAAGAAATCTTGGGGTTGGAAGACATTTTCCCGAGATTGTTCGGAAGACATCCTGCGATATTTCTGCAGTTGGAAGAAACCAAGACTCCGTAAACCGTGGGATATCATTGAGGCCAGCAGTCAAAGCCACGGGATCTGCTTCGCCCTTTGGCCACGGTGAAATCGGACGATCCGCCCACCCCCGGTCGTGGAGACCATGAACTGCGTCGTGGAGACCATGAACCAATGCAATGGAAAATGAGAATGATAATATGTGCAAGCCTATTGCATATATAAATTTGTACATACCATATATTGACCATATGGTACGTATACACATTGACATATATACATACATATTTATTTATATATGTGTTTGTTTCTGAATACATGTATACAGCATACCGATTTCCAGGGCTCTCTTGAGCTGGGCCCCCTTTTCAAACGACCTCGCCACCGAATCCTCTCCTGAACTCCAAAAATCGCTCCTCGCCGATGCCCCGCGCCTTCCCAGGTGGACGTCTACTGGGACCACCTCCACCCCATCTGCCGTCCAGGTGTCCCGGACGCGTGGCCGAAGGCCATGGCACCACCACGGAGTGGCCGGGCCTGCGGCCGGGCGGCTTGGAAAAGGCTCGGCTGCAGGGTGCAAGAGTGTCCTTGTCCCAAATGGTTTAGGGTTGAAACGAGCTGAGATGAAATAGATCGACTGCAACTTCAGCTTGCTCAGTGTACAGGCTGTTCAATAATTGCTCTGATCCACTTTAGCGCTTGGAGTCTAAGCGCCACTTCGAGGGACACTTGAACCAGAAGGCAGCTGCTCGCAGCCGACGACACAAAGTGATGTTGGCCGAGCGCTTTATCCGAGTCATTTGAAATTTCGAAACTAGTGCTGTGAGTGCGTGCGTGTGTGTGTGTGTGTGTGTGTGTGTGCTCAGCTTCCTGCATATTTAGCCTTGCAAAGGCATCTTGGATGCGTCGAAGGGACTCAAGAAAACCATCCATGCAACGCGTTCTTCTTCTACTTTCTTGAAGCGCTTTGACTCACAAAGCCCGGGTCCGTCGCTTAACCTGGGCCCCCAAGCAGAATGGGTTGCAACCCTTGCAAAGCCACCTCGCGCACGGAAGACTCCCTATTCGGTTTCAGGTTGCGCGGACAGGTTGCAGGTGTGGTATAGGAAGAATCCCAAAGGCCTGGCTACCTGAAAGTCTGAGAGGCCTAGTACCACATGCCAAGTACCTCAAGTCCTTCACCACCCTTCGCCTGATCAACTCCTCTCAACATCTCAACCCTCTTCACAACACGGACCTACAGCATCCGATGGAAAGATGTTCCCCCACTGTTCCGATGGTGAACGTTTCAGCGCTGGATCGAGCAAGGATCGAGCGGGTGCCTAAATGTGTGGCAACAAAAGGCTCGAACTCGGACTCTTGTGGCCCCTGGAGTTGTTGCTTTTCAGAGCAGCTCGTAGGAGCGAAGGGTCTCCTCTGCCGTCTTTTGACAGAAGAGTGCATCCTTCGATGATTGAAAATTCAAATAAATCTGCTCGCCCTGCGAATCGCTGGTACTGAGCAGTGACAGTTGCCTGCATGCTGGTGTTAAACTTCCTGGCCCATGTCATAAAGAGATAAATTTCGGCATCGGGCACCTCCTGAGCTAACAACTTGCCATACTTAAGCATCTTCTCAGGCTCTAGGATGGATGCCATACTGTGATCCTGCAAAACGACTCTGCTGAAAGCACCAGTCCGCAGAATTTCCAAAGTCTTAAGACCCTTGGCACCTTTCCAGTGGTCTTCCAAACTGGCTCCTCCGGAAGTAGACTGTCTCACCTCCATGCTCAGATTCTGGCTCTCCGCCATAGCAGCCACACTAGAAGGTGTAGCTATTTCCAACAAACAACGTTCGGTCAGGTCGCCTCGTTCGGTCCGGTCGCTCCTTCCTCTCAACAGCGCCTCCAGGCACCAGCACAAGCACCAGCACCAGGCGTCGGATGCTTCCAAGCACGTTACACCGAGCAAACATGGAGGGCTTTGTGCCAAGAGGTCCTCTTCTTCAGGAACATCAACGGAATTTCTGAAGATGAGAAGGACAACTTTTCCTGATCATGCTCTTCATGAAGAGGAGAAAACACAAAACATTTTGACACTCAAAAGCACCTGACCCCGGAAATTCTCCTTCCAAAAAAACTCCCATGAGACCATAGGGTGATGAAATCCAAGATCCAAAGTCAGTCAACCCAAAAAACACGCTCGGCCCCGGCTCTCCGATCACCTCCGGGGCTCCACACGCTGGACTTGGACCGGAGCAGCACGGCTCCACTCGCGAGCCTCGGGCTCCGCACGGCCGGGAGGCACGGCTCTCCGCCAGGCCTGAAGCACCTGGTGTTCCACCTCACCGACATCACCCTGCGGGGGGGGGGTTGATTGAGAAAAAGACGGAAGATGGGAGTGTTTTTTTTCGCCCTGTCACGTCTCAGGAAACTTGGGGAGACGGACTTTGTGCCACTCAGAGGTGAGAAGAATGTGAAGAAGACCTGCTAAAGAAATCTAAAGAACAGGAGCCATCGTTGCAGGCATCGTCCTTCGGTGAGTTTTGTGGGTGGAAACCAACCATGTCCATTACAGTGAGACTGGAGTTCCGCTGTCCAGCTGATTTTGTGCCATCCTCATGTCAGCGACAAACCTTTCTCATCCCCAGAGAAGCATGGGAAATAGCGAAGTCACTCTCTCAACCCAGCCAGTCGTCCAAAAAGCGAGTGACAAAGATGGGTGAAAATCAATGGTGCACTGGAAATGGGGCGGGGGGCTTCGGGCTCCCAATGGTGGGAATCCTAGGGCTTACTGACTTCTCAACAATGTCTCTAGCGGACTGCTGAGGTGAATCTATGTTCCTAGAAACCGAAACAACCGGAAACAAATGGTTGTTTCAGTATGGCAATTGAAATCCTTTACAGGAAATTGGCTGTTTTGGGGAAACATCAATTTCTTTCTGTTTGTTTGTGTTTCCAGGTTGAGAACCACTGAAAAACGGTGACTGCAAGGCATGTCCGATCCCGCTTCCGCTGAAGACGCGAACCTCATCTCGCCAAAGATCACCTCCTCTGCACCTTGGAAGTGTGGAGAAAACACGTCGGAGCCGTCGAAAGGAGTCGTCGATTGTGACAGTTACATGGTACAAACACGGTACAAACACAAACCGGTGGAAGTTGTAAAAAAGAAGACTGCGACCTGCGCACTTCCATGTTTACTTCCGGAAGTGTTGCCTAACTGTGTTCATGTCTGTGGAAGCATTCACAGGTTTCCGTCAAAGGTAGCCCAACATGCCATGGGTCTGAGGCGGACATTGTTTTGAGCTGTCAAATGGACTTGTCACGGAGGTCTTTGATGTGTCGATTGGAGACATGTCCAAACGTAGGAGACATCTCGAGATCAAATTCGCAAACTCACCACCAATAGCTTTCTGCAACATACAAGTAAGTACAAATATCATTGTTCTTTCCATCAAGCAGCTGTGATTTGCTGCTCTTTATATTGAACAAAAACAAAACAAAAAATATCTACGTCATCCCCCAAGTGGATCGAAGATGGGGTTCCAGGTCGAAGGTTTCATGTTTTGTTCCGGAGGATTCTGGGAGTGTCTCCTATTCAAGACTACTGGTCAGGATGATGCCACATTGATGTGTGGCAAGATACCGCTCACTTGTTGGACTTCGCCTCTCACCCTCCACCATTTTCCCTGAACAGCACGTTCTCTTTTTCCTTCAATCGAGATCGAACACCACTGGCGCCACCTGAGATACGAGGAACAGTCAATCGTATACGATGAGAATGCAGGGTTCTAATTGGGAGAAACACAAAACGATGCAAAACTTGGGTTCAATCCTTTCCCTGTAGGAGGAAGGTGAAGAGGAGGGGGAAGAGCATGACCATGACTGACAAGGTTCTTTTGCCAAGTTCCACTGACTGACTGCTGGGAAAGCCGGTTCAATGTAGCCAACCCAGAGCCATGACCCGTCAACAGAACCCTTTGGATCAAGATAACCTGCTGTCTCCCTGAAAATCTGCCTGAAGATCTATATCATCGATTCTGCGGAGTTAGAAGAAGCCCAGGCCTTGAAGCCCAGGCCTTGATGCTGTCTTCGGCCAATGTGTAGTGGCATATATCATCTCTGTTCTTTCGAGATGAAGACATATTTCAACCACTTCAAAAAAGGGCAAAACCACGAGGCTTTGGATGTCCCCCGCGCCTTCTCCTTCTTCAACCTCAAGCGGATGGGGCAGTGGTCACTGCCTGGCGAGCGGTCCAGAGTCCAGCTGTTTTCAGCCGTCCCACCCCACACACCTCCCTCCACACCTGGGTGGTGATACGACAGCTCGAACGATCCATTTGTCTGGGTATACTCTTTGATAGGTCGTTGGGTCGCAATTTGCTATTTCCAATTTGAAGGTCGCCTTCCGGTTGACCCAAAAACCCGGATTCTCGACGAAAACCGCGGGAGCACAGCTCCGGTGCTCCAATGCGACCGAGAACCCGCGAGGCAATCTGAACAGGGGAGGTCACTGTTCGAAAGAGTAGCCAGCGCAAAGCTCCAAGTAAGGCACAAACATCGAAATTGATCAAGGGGTCATCAAGGCGCAACGATGAAAAATCCACAATTGACAAACCCCACGCTGATTCAGGGACCTGCAGGGTTTAGTAGTATATCTTACAGACACATCTTACCTTCGTCTATCCCGCCTCTGCTCCATCAAAAGTACGTTCTGGTTGACCCCCTCGCTGAAAGAAACCATGCCCCAGAGGCTCTCAAATCGCTGCTGGCAGCCAAATATGATGTAAGTGATGATCCCAAAGGCTCAATGGCTGAAATTGCGTGGAACACCAACTCTCTTGCCCAGCCCTTGTCTGGTTCAGCTTCACCCCATCCCATGGATCCCACCGCCCCCCGGCGCTCCCTGGCGCTCAACGCTCGCCGTTCGGGCCTAGGAATCCGTCGCGGTCAGCGCCCGAACCCAGGATCTCTGAGGAGTCCAGGCGTGGTAGAAGCTCCTCCGACCGATGACGGCGTGGTAGAAGTCCGAGGCAGCTCCCGGTCGGCATGGGTTGCGATGGGTGTTCTTTGGAGGCACGGTAGAGTCAAAGGTCATCACCTGCTTGTAGAGTCTCTTTGATCGTTTGATCGTTTTGAATCTTATAACATTGGTTACGGCGTTCTCCTGCAGCTCCCAAAAGCCTGATGGAGGTCCTTGTTTCGCTCGAACACTGTAGAACTGCTCCCCGGAGCCAGGGATGTAGGAATGATCACGGGGGATTCAAATAAATCCTGAATGATCATCAATTTTAGTCACAGCAACAGCGGATGACGGTTACCGGCAAGTTTTACAATGGTTTACAAACTTCAGAGATTGTGTGAAGGGCTAGTTTGATCTAGTTTGCATTGCAACATACCGTAGACAGCGCCGAAAAATGGGCTTGCTCAATGTCAAATGGACATGCTTAGGTGATTGGGATTGTCTTCCAGGCACGGTGAGACTGGACCAGTCCCATCTGCCCCATCAGCCGCCAGTCTTTCACCGCCAGTCTTTGGGTGCATATTTAATAGGGAAGACCCTTGGTCTATTTTCCTTCTTCCAGGGGGTTGAACTGGGAGGTCTCCTTAATTTCAATACACATGACACACCCATTTCTCTTCGCTTTGCTCCAGGGCCAGTTTCGTTGTCAGAACTTGGTAGCGCAGGACCACCGGAGGATATGCCCAGGCCCTGCGACTCTCCACCCTCCCCCCAATCGGCCCTTCCACGGCTCGTGCACCGACCGGGGCGTTGGTAGACACAGAGCACGGGTCCGCAGAGACTCCAGTAACTTCACAGAATTGGTTTAAGGGAAAACCTCTACAGGAAAGCCATGGTTTTGGGGTTGAAAACAAGGGATTCCTGCAGATGTTCCCTTTAGCCAGTTCATTGACAACTAGGCTCCTCAAAAAGTTTACATCATTATGGCCGTAGGGTCCTGGCACCGAGCTCGCCCGTTTCACCACGAGCGAGCTCGGTTGACCGAGCCGCCAGACGTCTAGTCTACTAGTCTGTTCATGATTCGGTGGTCAACCAGTCGGTCCCGGTTCCAAGACCTATAGCCATATCGAAACCACCACGGTGTTTCACCGGCTCGCTCTGGCGAGGCGCACCGCGAATCGAACGATGTCCTCCGCAATTAAAGCGTAATCAATCCTCATCCCTGGGCAGAGCAAGTTCTTTCCCATCGTCGGCTCAAGAAAGATCGGAATATGGACAACAGCTTGACCGGTTGACCTCAAAAGCAACACCGCAGCTCGGCATCACCAGTGATGGAGCATCATTGATGAATGAACATGGAACCGTCTCTCGTCGGGCAAAACTGCCAGTCTCTGGTCCCTCGAGATTCGTCGCGGGTGTCGTTGGCGCGACAGCACCACGTGCCTTTGCCATGGTATTTCGCAAAGGCCTCCGGTGTCACGATGGCCATGGAACTGCATTCTGCATCATTTCAATGACCATCACGATTCCTACTATCCACTGGTTGCTACAGATACGTAGAGTTGGCCCTCTTCTCAGATTTCTCAGGATTTCCTTACTCCTGACCCTCGTTGTCGCTGGCCTGGTGCACTGGAGGATGCCCTCGCCAGGTGTAGAAGGGCCCCAGCGGTGGTGGCACGTCCTCGACGGGATGCAAATGCCTCACGTCCCGCGGTGGGTGGAGACGGTGCGACTCCTGCGGAGTCATGCGAGGACGACGAAGAGCGTCGGAAGCGAACGGGTATTGGAGTCCTTGGGCCAAACAAGCAATTATTGATGAATGGAAACTTGACAAAGCCAGAGTCTGCAGGAAGGAAACTACACTAGTAGGCGTGAATCCTACTCAACTCAGGTGTCACTCCAAGGGTTTTGGTCAACTGTGGCACTACTGTAGGTGTGGCTGTTTCTCGCTTTCAGGGGATGGCACCAATGAGCGACACTTAGTGGTTTGTGAGCCAGCCACAGCCACTGATGGCTTTTTCTGGAGGCACAAAAGCAACGTCAACAGCAAATTTCCCAAAGGGGAATCCCCTTGTTGATCTCTCCCAACATCTGGGATGTTTCACCAAAGGCCTCAAGTGAACAGTCACCTCAGCTGACCGGCAAGCCGCTGGTGGCGTGCTTCTCAGGCCCCGCACCGATAGGAGTCCACCAGGCGACCCTCCTTCAAGATCTCTTGAAATCGCCGCCGCTCGCCTCTCCCGAGGCCGTTGGGTGGGGCCATGAGACGGTGACGACAGTCAGACGGAGCAGCTTAACCAGCGACACGTTGGGTCCAACGGAAGGATCACCACCTTTCGGTGATCTGAAAAGGGGCTTCGCAAGCCAACTGTGACACCTGTGACACTGCGAGAGACATCAGACCCGAGACCCGCCGGGCAACGGCCGTTTGACGGCCTTTGGTGAAGCCAGGTTGACCTCGCATCTCTTCAGGCTCTCCCTGAGTTGCGGAAGGGTGCCACGGTGCGCAACGAAGAAAGAGATGGAACCTCTCGCTGCATTGGCAATCAAGGATCCGTGAAACTCAAAACAAAATGAAAAAGGCAGTCTGACCATCTGTTGAGTTGAAGGTTTGTGTGACCATCTGTTGAAGGTTTTTGTGGTATATGGCAGGGTCGTCTGCGGAGGGCTGCGGGTTTGCGCTCCACAAATGAAACAGCTGGGATTCACAGTTGGAAGGGACACAGCAGACTTCTGGTGACCATGTCAGTGCGTCATGTGGGTCCTCAGTGTGCAACGAAAAAGGAGGCCATACCATGGTGCCCTCTGCAGCTACCAGAAAATGCCATATCCATCCATATCCAACGAACCTGTTTCCAAACCGATTCCAGCGCTCCAAAAATGCTGCAACCAAACAGCAACCTAAACGAGACATTCCGAAGCGCCGCCTGGTAGCACTGCTGCAGAAACCAATCTGGATGTGTCACATCCTGGAACGGCATGTGTCAGATGTTTCACCTCAAACTTAGTCTTCCGCCAAGGAATGTGGACGGTTGATTCATGAGAACCCCCCCCATTTCCAGAATAGTTTTACATCTCCAGTGTTGGGGGGGTACGA